AAGGATTAAAATGGTATTAATTTTTTCTTTCATTATTCCTCTGCATACCACTAGAAGTAAGCCAGCGTACCACTAGTGATACAGGTACCACAGTTTGAGAACCACTATTTTGGAGAAAGAAAATTTAGCTGTAGAATGGCCCCGTCAATCACCTTACTTGAATCCAATAGAAAATTTAAAATAAAGATTTTACACTCTGAAAGCATCACACCTGAGCAATGCATGTGACTTCATTCTCCATATGAGAAGCTGCCATCACCAAAAAATAATTTTAAATCAAAAGTATTAAATATTTTTTAGTAGTTCAGTACTTTCTTCTTGTGTAATTACATTGTTATTATACATAACACATTTTTTTTAGATTTTTTTATTTTATTTTTTTATTTGTGTTGTTTCGGTTTTTACTAAAATCTGGTTCAATTCCACGTCAGCAGCTCCTTTAGAAATATTATTCCCAGGAAAAACATGACGTGTTCAATACTTGTTTTCCCCATTGTAGATACAATAAAGTAACACACTATGTTTTAGTTGATATATAAGTTGTTTTAAGGGTTTTAGTTTTTGTTTGTATTAGTCACTAGTAATAAACCTGACGTTCAGCTTTAGATGTGGTCAGTAAATGGCAGTTACCTAGTGTTTGACTTTGAAAATATTGCGACTCTTATGTTGGTGAACAGCGTTGGTGAAGAAGACCATGGAATCTCTTCAGCACATTGAATACTTGAATGTGAATCTCTCTGTAAGTGAACTCCCACGCTTCATTTGAATCTCAATCAATTATCTTAACATGAATAGGAGCTTTAGATGTAGAGCAAGTAACATTCTGTGATCTACCCAGTATCTCCTTTGTTGCTTCAGACACATTTTAAAGATCTAATAGAAACCTTAATCATATTAGACAGACTATCAAACATCTGTCCAATCTAATGGCCATTCACTGTGTCACAGCGTGTGATTGGTAACCTAATTAAGCAGAACTGCATTTCCAGCTGATCTTCCCTCCTACAGCTTGGCTAAACAATGCAAGAGATTTATGTCAGAAGATGCTGGTGATTTCTCTGTGTTCTCAGGTACCTCTCAAAGTCTTGCTGTCCACGGGAAGATCATGGGGTTCAATGTATGAGATGAATCTTTCCTGCACCGCTACAGCAACTTCTGCCTGAGTCTCCCTCTCTTCCTCTCCATCCTGTAACTATGGCAACCGGGCAGCTGCAGTTCCCAATTCTTGTTTTCGCTGATGTATCCATGGGTAGCGGTAGGATCAGGCTGGATTGTACCAGTTTCTTTTTTGGGGGGCTTCCCTTGGTTCATTTTTAATCTTTATAGTGTGGGAGGCTCTTCTTGCTAGTATCTCTACATAAGATCTGGCTTTTAAAATCTTTGCTTTTGTTCAGTTAGTGTGTTTGATCATAATATATGTTCTCCAGTACATCTGTCCACACAATTGTTGTATTTTGATTCATTATTGAGTTGATGAGCCGGTGGTGTTGCTATCGGTTTCCTCAGCTGCTGTGATGGAACGTCTGTCTACTGATGAATATTAATAAACTCAGTTCCTCATCTAGTTAGTCTAGCTCACTTCATTTAAAACCTGTTAATCTTATCTCTTCCGTTTCCGCAGCACCTCTCAAGTCATTTAGCAGCCGCTCACTGGCCTTTCTCCACATCTCATTTGTGTACACACAGTCTACAAACACTGACCCAGATTTTCAGTGTCCCTTTGTGGCATCAGATCTTCTGTGTCCCTCACAATGCCTCTCTATCACTTCAAATACACCCTTGAAAATTGTGCTTTTTGAGATGTGTGTGTTTTCTCTCGCTCTCTCTCTCACTCTCTCTCTCTCTCTCTCTCTCTCTCTCTCTCTCTCTCTCTCTAAATGTGTGTGTGTGTGTGTGTGTGTGTATATATATATATATATGCATATATATATATATATATATATATCTCTCTGAATGTCATGATATCCCTGAAAGCCTTTTCTTAAAGGTCTGGCACTGAGAAGTATACACATTTTATTCTGCTAGGTCATGATCTGTTTGTTCCCCCAAAGTCATTAAATAATTCTTCACATGTGGTGAAGGAGAAGGTCTATTAGGATATGTAATGAGGTATAAATAATTGGATGATGTTTTGAACTAATTTGAGCCTTCTTTATTAAATGAGCTGTATGTAAGGAATGCCATGGATGTATTGCTTTTAGCAATATATAAACATCTTGTATTAAAACTTAAAGAACGTAACCTTCCCTTTGCTGGGTCACGACATTAATGCATGCTCCCAAGAACCTCTTTCACTTTGCATGACGCATAAATTGAATGCTTATACAATGTTCAAGATTAAATATAAATGAGTAGTCTCTTACACATTATATTCATTATAATTGATATAAACATTATAATCATATAATCCTTTTTAATCAAACAATCATGGAAAAATAATGTTGTTTAAATAGCTCCATCCAAAATGGTACACTCTGCACTTTCACACTCAACAGCATAGTAAATGAATGTAGTGTCATACCAAATGGAACACTAACGGTTTCCCAGATGATATTTGACGGTTGCCAAATTAGTGAAATAAATACACCAAACTACAAAATAATACCTGCCATGAGAATAATCGCATTTACAATCGAGTGGCTGTATTATCACTCTCATAGGAGAATTTTGCTTTCACAATCCTGAATAAATAAAGGAATCCAACGTCAGTACCCGAAAGCTGCGCCCCTTTTGCTATATGAGCTGAACTGCAGCTGTTGAGTGTGTGAAATGTCCAACATTCAACACTTCTTTTCAACGGTTGATTAGGTGCATCATCCGTGCACTTATTCTTTTTGGAATTTCAGTATGAATGCACTACTTGCAATATTTATACGACAAAATGGCGTGGAATAGTGGATAACTTCATCTGTTGACATGATGTCAGTGATTTGCAGAGCTTAGTATCCATAAAATCAGTGGTATAAAGGAACGAATAAAAAAATACTCAAATTACTGTAACTGAGTAGATTTTAATCAAGAATTGCACTTTTAAAATGTGTACTAATACTATAGTACATTTTATTGCTTTGTCTGTACTATACTGTACTGAGCTATTTCAGTCAACCTGTAGTCAATCGTTTTTTGTCTACATTATTGGCTATGTAGAACAATCACCCATTTAATTGCCATTCCATCAAATTGCACATAGAAAAATCTGATCAAACAGACCAACCTCAAGAAACAGACGCTTTATAAATGCAGCAAACATATACAGTGCTACAATGAAGTGTTTATATATATATATATATATATATATATATATATATATATATATATATATATATATATATATATATATATATATATATGTTTTTTTTTTATACATGAACAGTGCATGTATTCTATCAGTACAAACTGTTGGACACTCAATGCTTGTTAATTTGGATTGAAAGTTCATAACCTGTCACAGCTGGCTTTTTGCCCCTTTGGGCTACTCAAAATCGCTCCGCATGTAAGCCCATCAGTCTACTTTGTCAGTTGTTATTGGTGTATATATTAATGTAACCTGTTTTCACTTTAAATTAATCTCACATTTTAAATGTATAGTCTATTAATCCTGAATAATTTAACTTGCACTTAGAAACACCCTTAAAAGAATACGGCACTGACATGAGCTATGTTTTTTATTTGCAGGTTAAGGGTATAATAATTTTTACATTGTAATACTCACTACTCTTGAGTATTTTTAGAATGGCTGTTTTTACTCGTACTTTGATTAGTATTTAGAACAGATCATTTTACACCGTTAACACTTGATTTTTTTTTTAGCATGAAATATACTTTTACTTAAGTTTTTGTAAGTATTAAGTTTATTTTATTTAGAGCTGGGTGATTAATCGAAAAGTCATCAAAATCGACATTTAGAACCTATAAACAATGACATTTTTCCAGGACAATTTTTTCAATTACTTTCCCTACTGCATGCGGTGTGCATGTGGAGTCGCTCTGTTAGGCTGAGGCTGATTTATACTTCAGCGGCCACTTTGCAGCCACATCTGATCTCTGGTCAAGAAGGACGATAGACCTATTTTTAAGCCTTACTTAGCATTACATTAAGGATGATTAAAGCACCAGAGACGGCATATTTTCCATTACATTAAAATTATTATTTACATTAAAATGTTTATTTAAAGAAGATGCAAGAGAAGTTTAAAATATTATAATAAAGGATATGCAAGTTATTTTTTGAGAAGAGATACTACTTTCTACTTTTAATATGAAAAACACTGAAAATAGTTTTTATTTCCAAAAGTGAAAGTTACTTAGGCAATGTATGCTTTAATTTCTGTTTTTCAATGTCGATGTTCAATAAATAATCATATAAAGTGGATAGTGTGTTTCAATTACTTACTGAGTATAAAATACTTTATTTATTTTATAATCAAGTGCAAAAATGCACCCTTCATTTACCCTCAAAAATCTCTAATTTGTAATATGTGAGCATGTTTACTGTACAAAACTTGTGAGCAAAATGTAAGGGCAAAAAAATAATAATAATAATAACAACAAATAAAATAATCATTTATTAATCGTAATCGAGTTAAAATGTTCAATTAAGATTTATATTATAGGCCGAATTGCCCAGCCCTAACTTTTTCCACAACTACAAATAACTATGATCAGATGCTTACTTAACTGCTGGTTTCTCACCGCTGCCAATTTGTTGTTTATTTTGTTATTGAGACAAAGGAGTGCAGCACATATTCATATATTTTTATCAACAAACAAAATTTCTTTTCAAAGAACGAAAAATAACTTGGTTGTGATTATTTTGAGTAACGTTCAGTCTCCTAAGTAATGAAGTTAACTTCACGACCAACGTTCTCTATAAACATTTCATGTAATAATGCGCAATAGTTTTTAATCAGTGTGTGCTTATTGAACTAAACACAAATGACCCGAATGTGCTTTGTGTGTTCATGCATAGGTGGCTTTCAAAATTGGCTCAGACACTTTTGTACAAGCTTTATGCATCGTTCCTTTAATTGATACATTATGTACATCCCTTTCTTTCATAAATCAGGAAAACTTTTCTTTACATCTTTACAAAGTTCCTGTGTATTGAGGAAATGAAAGAAAAAGAGAAAAGGGGGAACATAAAAAAAAACGGTTTTAAACAGCTTAAGAAAACCAAGTACAACGATTTCAGACTCAAAGAACCAGGAGATCACTGCAACCAAACAGGTAAAGCAAGGTCAGATTTGCCATGCTCAAAACCTCTTTTACATACTCCTAATCCGTTCTACCCAGCCCTTATTATCATACCAAGCTCAGCCCCTTTTATGGTAACTGACCCCGCCCCCCATGTGTGGCTGCACATCATTTCCCTGCTGTGCTTTGTGTGGGCTTGTTTTTACAGTAGCAGGCAGCCAATGATTGAAATGTGTTCAACAGCCTAAAACAGCCAACTTAAAACTGATAAACATGGGTATAAAGCAAAGAAAGAAAACTATCACTGCCATCTTTTAAGTGCCATACATTTCCAAAGTATTTTCAGGGATTTACCCATAAATTAATGGTAATTTACAATAAATACTAAACCCACCAGCACTTTGCAATGTTTTAAGAGCATCCAATAAGTGCTAAGAGGATGCAGGGACTCTGAAAGTTGCTTTTGCTCTGACTGGCACAAATAGAAGCGGTTTGTAGTCAAAATTGTTTCTCAAAGTGTATCGTTATTGTGTTTGTTTTTGTAAACATTGTATGTATATTCATATAGTATCTGTTACAAAATGTTCCCCAAATGCTATTTACAGTAAATTACACTTTACAACTTTACATATATTAAAATGTTAATAAAAAGGTTAATTGTTTTTGTTTTTCAAGAAAAATCATAAAAGCTTTGTTAGTATGAACCTGTGCGTATTGAGCCACTTGTGAAACTGGTGTTGATTTGTCTGTTTTGCTTACTGTCACAGATTGTTGGAGATTGTGCACCTTGTGAATCCGGAGATATCTGAAAACAGCCAATGGTTCAGAGCAATGAGGCAACTCTCAGAGACCATGACCACTCACAAAGGTTTTTTCACTTATTTTTGCCCGCTTTGTACCCCTACAACATAAGAGGAATGCAAGTAAATGTGTTAGTTGTAATTAGAATGAAGGAACAAAACTATATATAAAAAGAATGAGAATATACACAAACAAAAGAAACTTCACATTCACACTTTGTCAGGCCTTGGCTTGCCTGTGGTGATGTTGCTGTGCCAATACTAATAACATCTTAGCGACTGTCACCAGTAAAGTATGAGGGATTGAACATCAATGCAGCATTTGAACATTTTTATAATCTCACGGATCATGTTCGTTTCTCTTTTTTTCCCCCCAACTGTGATACTTTGTATTATTGCTTGATAAAATGGCACATAGGCTTGACTTCCAAATGAGGTCTACAAAGATGAGTTGTGGCAACATCTTAAAGACAAACGGCAAAAGAAGGAAATATACTCAACTTTGGCAAATTTAACTCCTAAAAAATACTGTTGATACATTGTAGTGGATCATAAGAACAAGAAACTAAACACTTATTTAAAAATATAGATATATCGTTGAACACAAAAATAAAATAAAGGAAGGAAAATACAGTTAGGGGAGTGCTATCAACCTGGAAAATGAAAGGAGAAGGAATCAGCTTCACACTTTGGTGTCTTGTTCCATACATTATCTAATGAGCGACAATGATGTAGCAAGTCCATCCACCAGTGTGGATCTTCCCTGACTCCCTTCTCCACTGTTAAGTGAAACATTCTTAGCAGCCATCTGTTTCATGCAGCTTACCAAGGTCAATCTGAATGCCTTTTCATCAACTTTTCTTTCAAACGAACACTAGAAATATATATACAAAGTATGCACTTTATTTCTGTGTTGTTGTGTTTTTTTCTTTTTTTTTATGACTTGGGTAAAACCCCAGTTTTTTTTCCTTGCATAACAACTTTTTCAAGTTCTGTCTTGCTGCTCCAACTTTCAAAGACCAGCCAATCAAGTCACCAGTCTAAACCAGCATATCACACAAACTGTACACATACATCCAATTTAATTGAGCCTTTAGCATGTGCAAAACTAGTTGCATGATCTGGTCAACAGCTTAGTTAACCGCAAGCAGTGATCATGGTGTTCTTGCACTTGCTTGCGATACAGACAGGCTCTCTTCAATCTGCGAACAGCACATGCACCTTATACATCCCTTATTCCATGCTGATTGCATTCAGAATAATAAAGTGAGGATTTTCAAGGCAGTCGCACTACAGAAGAAGATTAACACTCATAGCAAAAGACCTCAAGTACATCAAACACTGTTCAAATCTGGATCTATATGTAATACATTGCTGATCGCCGTATACATTCACTTCTGCCAGCACTGTGGTAAATCCCGTTAAGACATTTGTGGATTTTTTTTTTTTATGTGGGATTGACTACAACTTCATTCTCCTGGTATATTTTCATACTGTTCATGTACTGATTGTTTTTGGCTTGCTTTGGCCACACAATCACAAGTGAGTGTGAACTTTAGCCTGTTTGCTTTGGGTTTACACGGTTGAAAATCACATCACAGATTTGATCTGCCATTTAATCTTTCTTCTTAAAGATGCTAGTGCATTCAAATACAGCTTAACTAGGCATTTTAAGGGAGACAGGTGAATGCTACGTCCAATTTGACTGGCACACGCAACTAGCAAAGTTGTATCTAGGGAAATGTATTTTTGATGCCTTATTCATTTCAACTCGCATAGCTAAAACAGGGACATCCTCCCAAGTAAACCGAGAAGCGTCACATATCTGATCTCTAGTCAAAGCATCGCATCATTTTCAAGGCCTTCTACTGATAAAAAGGACATCTCGCAATATCCTAAAACAATTTACTGAATGAAAATGAACATACATTTAAAAAAAGCTCCACTTTTAAGACTTGCCGTGTTAAAGATGGTATTTGTCTTGCTCGTTTTTCATTCAAAGACGTTTCATGCAACAACAATTTCTTCGAACAATGAAACACACGTATTTGTTTATATGTTCAGTTAAAAAAAGACGCTTGTTTTACATAGTTTTTAAATATACTTCTTTACCAGGGCAGGCACCGTACGCACAAACCAGGTACAGAGGCATGCCACATACTTGCATTGCTTTTGCATTCTACTATTGGCAGCTGTGATGTCATTGAAGCAGCAAGCTGGTGGGTAGTCCTATTATTTAGTTGACTCCACCCATCTCACGTTCTAAACCACACCCACGACTCTCCACACTGCTACTGTGACATCACAGAGGGAGGGAAATATGGGGATAGTACAAGCTACAATGGAGGGGAAAAGGCAGCGCAACAAGACTCCGTGGCGCATGCAGAGAGGGGTGTGGGTTTGAAGGGAGGGAGAGGTCTGGCCCAGGGTTGCAGTCAGATTTTTGGATGGGGGTGGGGTTAAAGTCAAGGAAAACTGGCAATGTTCATGTTCTTTTTTTCTTTTTTATGCACTACAAGTTACTTCTATGTATTTTTTAAATCACATTTAGTTTCTTAACTTTATACAACATTATGTCACAGATGAGGCTCATTGTGGTTTGAATCTCTCCCTCTGCTGGTACTGTGATAGGAAGATAGAGACGGAGAGAGATTATGGGTATGTCATATATATATATATATATATGTATTCAAATATTTGACATATACATATCGAATAGCTGAAGAATATAAAGCCTTATAGTGTATACTTATACAGTGAACATTTTTTTATGCTTATTCAAATTTAGATTTGTGCTCGGTTCAATTTCTCCATTTTATCGTTGTATTGCTGATTGTATTTTTATTTTAAATTCACTTTAAGTTTGATTGCATTTGTTCTTTTTTTTTTTTTTTAGATAATGCATTGGAGGAGCAATATCAGACTGGGAAGAAATTCAGTCAATTTGCAGTAAGTATTTTCCCCCAAACCTGAATGGTGAAACTATTAGTATACAAAAGTTTAATTGAGTTATTATTGAAGCTCCATCAAATCTTTACACAAATAGATATGTGCTAAAATTGGTTCCACAGCTATTGTGTGTTTTCACAGTATAGGAATTGTGTGTACCCTTATGATTAGGTTTCAAGTTAATTTAGTATTTTAGTTTAAAAACGTCACTTTCCTGTTTTCTGGTCATTTTTGACCTTAACATTGATGCTGTGGCTCAGCACTAGAAAACTGCTCAACCATCAAAACAAATAAAAAATAGATTGCAATGTTATCATAACCTATTAAACAAGGGGTAGAAATCACTGGCTTTATAATATCCAAATGTCTAGTCGGACACAGTTAAAAATGCTGTGTATTTGGACAGAAAGTTACAATTTGATGGACTGTTTGACTCCACCAGACTGCTGCTGTTGTAAGGTTCAAACCACTTCCTCATGAAAAGGTGAATTAACTACCTTCTCTCCAGTTCCTTAAATCACGTGTGTGTGGTCTGTGCTACTCTGCGGGTCGGCCTATAAGATGGCTTTTAAAAAAGCTCATTTAACTGCTAATTATTGTGTTTAATTGAAATTGTTTATCCAAATAAGATAAAGTCAACAGGGCTATTCATTTCTTCATTGTGTTTCAGGGCAAGATGACCATGAAAAGAAAGACTAAGAGCAAAGAAAAAGTCTAGAGTGATTAAAAGAATGAAACATTTCGCCTAACCTTTTCAAATGAACCAATGAGCATAGGAATGAATAGAACTAAATGTAGAAACAGATATGACTTAAACATAAATTAATAGGTAGAAGAAGAGGACCGGATCGGTGGGTGGTTCAGGGTCGTTGCCGGCATCGTCGTTTGTATTCTGTTTTCTGCGTTCAAGTGAACTCTTCGTCTCTCACTCTTCGTGAAGCTGCAATCGGTAGTGGCTGTAGCGAATCTGGAAGAAGAGCCTCTCCAGCGGTGAACGGGTCATTCCTGGCAGCGTGTAGTCCTCCGTCTCTCCCACTCGTCGGAAACCCAAAGACTCGTACAGCTTGTGGGCGGCCATCTTGACTGCTGTTGTTCCCAGAACCACAGCCGAGTAGTTGTTTAACATGGCAAATTCAATAACACGCCGACCCAGAGCCTTGGCGATGCCTTTTCCGCGAAAGTGAGAGTCCACTGACATGCGACGGAGCTCCACGGTGTTGTCATCTTCTCGACTTTGCGCTGCCACGATGCCCACCACTTGACCTTGCAGAACCGCCACCCAGAAACAAGACCCTGTGCAGAACAAAACAAGAAAAGAATTCAGCATTGCCTTTAGAGTAAACGTTTGCCAGCAATTTGAAAGTCTCTTGCATGATCTAGTTGTAATTTAAAGTGTTGTGATGAAAACTTTTGGAGGTTTTTGTTTTGTTTATTTACGCTTGCAGTCAGAATCTAGTATTTGTCTTGGTATGAGCTTAATTCTTGGTAATTGGTAATTCTTAATTTGTCTTGGTAATGAGCTTAAACCTCTGCTGGCCACATCAAGCCAATCAAATAAATCAGTTTTAAATCAATTGATTTATGAAAAAATTAAAGATTTCATTCTCATATATATATATATATATATATATATATATATATATATATATATATATATATACATACATATACATATGTATCTATATATGTGTGTGTGTGTGTGTGTGTGTGTGTGTGTGTGTGTGTGTGTGTGTGTGTGTGTGTGTGTGTGTTTTATTGCAAAAGCATACAAGCAGTACTGCCTAAATCCTAACAAGAAAGAGATGGACCATATATCAAACTTCTCTTGGAAGTACTCTGTCACAGTGAATTTAATTACTACAAAACGGAACTCAAAACCCTACCTCCCACCCCACCTATCTAACATTGGTCAAAATGTTTGTGGAAGGTTCATAAAAAATAAAGTAAAAGGCATATTATACATGAATTGCATTTACAATCATAATATGGAACTGGCTGGAACAAAAATTAAAAATTTAAACAAGGTGGACATAGAGTGAAACTGAGAAAAAAAACATTATAAAATAATTGTAAGATAATTGTAAAATAAATAATGAAATAAAGTAATTAGCATACCATAGTCTTGTAAAAGTCTATCAGTTTAGTCTATCTGCAAAAATAATATGAGTGGTTCCCAAATGTTGTTAACTTTATATTGTATATATGCTCTCCAAATAAAATTGTTTATCTAAAGCTCTGTGGAGATCAGTGTGAGCGCAGCTTATGCCAGTTAATGTTTTTATCATAAGTTTTTATCATTTTAACAAATAATGCTTATTAAAGGGATAGTTCACACAGAATAATGAAAATATACTCACTATTTACCCTCAAGTGGTTCCAAACCTTTCTGAGTGTCTTTATTCTGTTGAGCACAAAATAGGGAAAAAAGAAGAAGAAGATATTTTGAAAAGAGCTGAAAACCAGTAACCACTGAAACAAATACTGTGGACATCAATGGTCACAGATTTTCAGCGTTTTTCCAAAATAACTTCTTTTCTATTCAACAGAAGAAAGAAAGCCAAACAGGTTTGGAACAAGGGAAGGGTGAGTAAACGATGACAGAATTTTCAGTTCTGGGTTAACCATTTAAGCGCACTGAAATGAACTAAACTGAAATTCAACTCTGAAAACTGGACTTACACACTTTCTGTTTACTAGAACTTCTATGTTAAGCTGCTTGGACATTATCTGCATTGTAAAAGTGGTATAGAAATAAAGATGAATTTAACTATTGCTTCAGTCTTTTAATGATTAGGCAACAGAAAGCCTGTGATAATTTGTTAGGAAAGCTCATGAAGATTACTGCCATCAAATTAGTTTAAAAGTTATTTATGATTCTCTTGAATGATTTTTTTTACAAAAATGTTTTAGTGCAGATTAAGTGCATTTTTAATTGTTAATTGTCATTTAGCTCATACGGTTTTTGTTGTTGTTAAATGAGGAGCACATATTGATTCATACTGATACTCTAATCTTAAATATAGTTTTCGTCTGTCATGCTTGTGAGGTTCAGCAATGTTCTGCCAAAATAACTAAATCACATATTCAATTGCAGAGAGAAAGGAGATAAATACTCTGTGAAGCTGTACAAATAAACAAGGACAGAACTGAGGTCTGGTGTCTACAAGATGAAACATACGCAGGCAAAGGTATGTCTAAAACCATGCTCACTAAATGTTATATTTTATCATGCAGAGTAACAATTGATGCATCAAATATGTGCAATATTTATGAAGTAGTTGCTACTTTGTACAGAAATTTAACAACAGAGAATAGCATTTATTTGTGTGCCATGTTGCAACATATTGCTGTATTGTGTGTCATGACTGCATTAGCTTCAGGGCTAAGGAGCACTAAAAAATCACTGTGGGACTGAACGTCCTGCTGTACACTCATTAGTTTGATGACACACACTCACACACACACACACTCATTTGTACCCCCCTCCACCCCAGCTGTCTGATAACTGTTTCTTTTGTGTGCGTGGTTGCAAGGCCATTCAAATATAGAATCATTAGCCAATGATGCTTTCATTATCCAATTAAATCTTATTGATAAAATCAACACCCGCTTCACATTATTTTCTGCTAAACATACAGTTCCGCGGCACATTGAGAAATTAAATGTGTCACAATTGTCACTAAGGACTAGTGGGTTGAACCACAGATCTATTTTCTTCCATATAATATATTTAGCACATTATAATAAATGAGAATCCTCCAATTCATGTATTTCATATTCAGTATTCATGATCTTCCAAGTATCTAAGAGCAACGCTATCTCTGTAATGATGAAAGCCACTTCAAACAGATGATGAGTGCATTAAAGAAACATCTAGCATTCCCTCCTCAGATGCTGGATTCCACATTAGCATAGCAAGAGAGAAAATCCCTTGGGAGAATCCTTTGTCTGCATGCTGCCACTAAACAACACTACCATACATCCTCACACTGGGGCTTTGATTCACATCTTCCCCCATTTTCTGACCCCACAACTCTTTCCTCTCTTTTGCTTGATTTAGGATTATGCTTGTATGCACAGATAATATCTGTACTAAGGTGCTAACTATTTTTATAAATTCAGACTTTATATTTTTTATTCTGCATTAAATAGATAAAACAGACTTGTATTTAAAATAGTGCTGAGCAAAAATCAATTGTGAAATAAAATAGTTTGTTTTGATATATGTTTATTTAATGTGTGTGTGTGTGTGTGTGTGTGTGTGTGTGTGTGTGTGTGTGTGTGTGTGTGTGTGTGTACAGTTAGTCAGAATTATTAGCCCCCCTACACCCCCAAATTATTAGACTCCCTGTTTATTTTTTCTTACACCTTCTGTTTTACGGAGAGCAGATTATTTTAACACATTTCTAAACATAATAGTTTTAATAACTCATCTCTTATAACTGATTTATTTTATCTTTGCCATGATGACAGTAAATAATATTTGACTAGATATTCTTCAAGATGCTTCTATACAGCTTAAATTGACATTTAAAAGCTTAACTAGGTTAATAAGGTTAACTAGGCAGGTTAAGGTAATTCTGACTTCAACTGTGTATATATATATATATATATATATGTGACTTCACATATATGTGGTGTATGTATGTTTGTTTTATTCCTACATTTGTTTATTATGTATCCGAATACAAATACATAGAAACAAAACACTACACAAAACAATTTTATTACATGCTGCTGAGGACTAATCTGGACAGACTTTTGTGCATACATTTAGTTTATTATAGTTGTTCAAACTTTGAGCATTTTTCCATTTTTTTTAGAAAGCTTATATTGGAAAAAAGTGTATGTTTATGTCTAGAGCTTGCTTGTTTTGACACTATTTAAAACATTTTGCTAAGTAATATTTATTTATTCATTCATTAATTCATTCATTATGTACATGTGATACACATACATAATACATTTACTATGTGTATGTTTACACTTAGAGCACAGGTGTCAAACTCAGTTCCAAAAGGGCCGCAGCTCTGCACAGTTTAGTTCCAACCCTAATTAAACACACCTGATCAAACTAATTGAGTCCTTCAGGCTTGTTTGAAACCTACAGGTAAGTGTGTTGGAGCAGGGTTGGAACTAAACTGTGCAGGGCTTCGGCTCTCCAGGAATTGAGTTTGACACCCCCTGACCTAGATCTTGCTTGTTTTGACACAATATTTAAAATGTTTTGCTAAGTAATATTTCTATATTTATTTATTCATTCATTCATTAATTTATTATGTGTACTGTATGTGATACACATACATAGAAATAAAACTATACAAAACAACTTTATTACATAAATATTTATGTTTATATATAATTTGTATCACACAGACCTATTTTATATGTAAATATAAATAAACATTTTCTTAAATGTGTGTGGGTGTATTGTATTATTAAATGTATGAAATTGTAATCATTTTATGATAGGGCTAATATAAATATTTTCCATCTGGGCCATATGTAAAACTCCTTAGCGTTTAGTCCTGCAAGCATCTAAAATTTTGATTCATAATGGTCTTAAAATGTCTTAAAAAGTCTTAAGTTTACCTGCAGAAACCCTGTATATAAATATACCCAGTACACACGACACATTATGTCAAAACAAACTTTAATTTTGGATAGGATTAATTGTGATTAATCTTTTCCCAGCACTAAATAAAATATGTTTGTATTTAATTTATTCATTTTATAGGTTAATTTATGCATCAAGGATTCCATAAAATTATTTTAAGATTTTTTTTTTTACATTTGTTTTATTAAAAAGAAAGATAACACAAATATTGTGAAATATAACTGCTTTCTGTTTTAATATACTTTACATTTTTATATTGTTCCTTTAATGTCAAAACAGCAGCAAATACTCCACTTTTCAATGTTTGGCTGTTCAGCATCATTAAAATATGATCAATCTTAAAAACAGTGTTGCTTGATGTTTTAGTAGAAACTGTGATGCATAATTTTTGAAAAACTTTGAGAAACAGAAAGGTCAACAGCATTAATTCCAAATATAACACTGTAAATGTCTTTCCTGTCACTTTTGATCAATGTAATGCATCCTTGCTCAAATGACAGTATTATTTCTTGAAAAATACAGACTTGTAGCGTCCTATTTTACATAAACTCACAGCGATTCTCATCGAGATAGAGCATTGACTTTTATGATATATGTTAAGATCCATGTATTATAAGACCCATGCATTATATGTATATTAAGACCCATAGGATTTTTATCTCTAACATATGGGACAATTTCTTCTATATATTTCTAAAATTCTCTGAAGAGGAAATCTGCTTTACTTACTAGGGTGTGACAGACAGCATGCACAGGTCCATACCTAATTTTCACATGCACTACGGGTGTAAAAGACACTCCCGCAAATGTTTACAGATACACTACAGTGTGGATTCTGACTGGCAGCATCTGGCTTTTCAACATGGAAGCTGAGAAATAAACTCAATTGTATGCTATGCTGTGCAAGGAAAGCCTATAAATGTAATCATAAATTTAAAAATTATAGAGCAGCAATCATGCACAGCAAGTTTAAAGATTTACTATCTTCACAGTCACTTTTGCTTAAGTAGTATTTGCAGGATGACTCTGTTTACTACCACTTTTACTGCAAATGTATACATATGAAAAAGCTGGATAAACTTTTTGCAGTGCTTATCACTAAACTCTAACAGTTTATTCTCTCTGCACTTAAACAAGTTAATAATTACAGCTTTTTGTTGGAATGTATTTCAATATTGTTGCTGTAGTTCTGAGTTTGCTAGAGTACAATTTGTGTAAGGGATTTGTCCTGTCTTCAATCAATAGCGCTACATTATGCCGAACATTTATCCTCAAGAGCAGAACTAATAGAGGCTTTCTGCATATTTCATGAGTTTTCAGCATTTAAAGCTACACATCAACTATTCGACCCAACTTGGGCATCTAGAGTGCAGTATTTAACCTCAGTTTCACAGACACTGGTCTTAAGAGTATTTGTTGTGGTGAAATAAATATTTGATCATAAATGATTTATTGTGAAGTGAAATATAGTTATTGTCTCTGTAAACAAATGAACAGTTTATAGTAAAGTATTAGCACTAATGTATTTGTACTGGTATATATGTATTAGGGCTGCATGATATTGGAAAATCTGATGTTGCAATATTTTGATTTCCTACAATATAGATGATTTGAACAGCTCTATTTGGAGAGATTTTTTTAGTATAGATTGACCATAATGATCAATACTTTTTCCATCTGCATAAATTATAATAAATTACAAGCAAATATGAATAAATAAACAATACTTTATGATTTTCTGGGGAGTCTAACAGTATTCAAGTACAGAAATTGACAATCAAATGTAAAATAACATGGTGATTATTGTATAAATGATTAAAAAATATAATATTTACTATACATGTCATAGAAAAATGTCTTTTCCATTAAAAATACCGACTGAATACTTTTTTTTCTAATTTAGAGTAAATGGATTAAGTATATTTCACCAAAATGCCCAGATTTTTCTTGCATTGTAACATTTCAATTTAACATTGTGTCTAAATATATATATTTTCTTCTTTAAAGGCAATCTTCTAAAAGATTTATAGCTCCCCATGCTTTACTGTTTATAGTTGTTGTTAAAGGTAAGACAATACAAAGCATATGCAAGATCTGTAAGTCTCATCTGGGGTGCGTTTCTGAAAACCTTTGTTAGCCAACTAAGGTCGCAAGTTTTGTCGTTACAAACATAGTTTGTTAATTTTGCATTTTCCAAATCCGTCATTCCAATGAACCTTTGCAAACTGCATTGTAAACTTGTGTACTTGCAACTACACCTCTAGAGCTGTAGTTAAAAGCATAGCTCCTGGCTGTGTTCTATTCTCTGTTATCTCCCCTATGCCCTATTCATTTAGAACATTCCAATATTCCAACATCCAAAAAAGCTCTAAAGTCATCTCTTTTAGGTGTCATTTGGCTTTCAAAGTATTTTTACAGTTCAGTTTTTGTGATCTTCATATTGGCAATTTTGCTCCCTTCATAGTGTACTTTGAAAACATTAACGCCAACACAGGCGTGGCTCATGACGAAAGCTATAGGTCACCTGCTATTATTTAAAAGAATTGACGTTACGTCTCCAAAGTTTGTGAAAACAAAAATATATAGCATACGTTAATTGTTTTAATTTATAGTAAGTTATTTATTAAGTATCTGTACTGCATATGACATGGTTAGAACATTTCTGCAGTGGTTTGAATGTGTCAAATTGTAAAAGTAGACTTTCCAAAAAAATAAATAAATAAACAATATCCTATTTAATAATAATAATAATTAATATTATGAATTTTATTATTAAGTAGGATTTTTAAAGTCTTAAATAGTCTACTGTAAATTAACCTACAACTATTAATGATTTATATATGAGATTAGAATACATGTTTGCTTAGTGATTTTATATGGAATGTTCTCAATAATATTTGTGAAGGACACATATATAGGTCCTATATGTGTTGTTTACACATATTTCAATTAATATGAAAAATGAGTGCATGTTTTTACCAAAATTAATATTGGATTTTTTAAAATGTGTGTGCATGCGTGTGTGTGTAAACAGATATAATTTGCACAGTACATTAAGGGGGTTTGCTCTAAAGAAGTAGTTACTCCTGCCTGTTTAGAGCGCCACTGTAGACTTTTTACGTTATAACTGATCTGGCTCAAATGATGGATCTGCGACATAGAAACTGGTTTTGGGAAACACTCGTCTCTACATCGTTCTTTACCCAAATGATGCATCATACTATGATAGTTCAGCCGCGAGTTATGTCATTGTTTGGGAAACGCACCCCAGTATGAGAGATTATGTAGGTTATATATGTATTTTCTCTTGAAAAACTCAAAATAAAAAATAAATAATAAAAATATATGTATGTATATTTATATATATATATATATATATATATATATATATATATATATATATAGATTATTGCAGATACACACATTGCGATATCAGTGCTCAAACGATATATTGTTCAGCCATAATATATGTAACAAACTTCTATGTATTACACATTAGTGACTTTGATAAATCAAACTGCTTACACAGCATCCATACATAAACATTAAAAGCATACAGTGCTATTTAAAAGTTTATAAGAATGATTTTTTTAAAGAAATGTGTTATTTTGATCAGCATGGATGCATTCATTTGATCAAAAGTTACAGAAAACACTTAATTTTATAATAGTCATTTAATATAATAATTATAGTCAAAGCTATATTTTTCATCTTTCTATCAATCAAAAACAATGAATAAAGAGATATATGAGCATTTACACAAAAAATAACCTGGACTGTTTTTAACATGACAGATTTGAAGTATATAAATACAGTTACTTAATTTAAACAAATGAAACATTTATAAAATCATAAAAACACTAAATATTTCAAACTTCTGTGTAATTGCATATGTGCTTGCTTTGGCTATATTGTGTGGCCAATTTTGTTTTTAATGTTTACACAAATGCAGTGAAGCATGCTGAGAAGTCTACTGGTGAAAATAATTGTATGAGTGTGAAATGAGCCCTTACCTGTGGGTTTCATGTAATATGCCTCAATGTCCGCCATATCGGTGTGCAGAGCGCAGTCCAGGTAGCTGAGAATGACTTTTCTGCTGTAGTAATAACGTGCGCCCATTAGAATAAACGGTGCGCAGAAGGTCAGTGTGAAGGATTTGGTCATAACATAGCACATTACTATGGAGAAATGGAAGAAAAATAAACGACACCTGTCAGAAAAGAGAATCAAATGTTTGATTTTTGGCAGAGGAGAGACAAATACAGTAAATGTATACAAGTTACGAAAGATATGCAGAGATATACCAATGCAGGGAGATGCATTGCAAAGTATGGAAAACTGACTAAGAGTTTTTCCTGTAAAAACAAAAAGTGATATGTAACGTTATACATTTATATGGCAAGGAGCTTTTTCTAGCGGAGGCACAATAACAAGTACTTGGTTTACTTAAAAGGGTTAGTTCACACAAAAGTGAAAACTCAGTTATTTTCCTCACCCTTCACTTGTCACAAACTTATTTGAGCTTTTTTGTTCTACTTACCAGATAAGAAGATATTTTGAAAAATGCTGGAAACTGAAATCCATTGACTTCCATAGTATATGGTTTTTTTTTGTATGAAAGTCAAGGTTTACCAGATTCATTCCTCGAATTATCTTTAAATAACCTCAAACAATTTTGAAACCACTTAAGGGCAAGTAAATGTTCATTTTTGAGTGAACTAAAGTCAAGGAAATATGAGTGTGTGTATGTCGAGGTTGATGTCACCAGATGGCGCACTTGAGCTCTGACTCGCTGCGCCACTGTGCATGTTTCACGTCAGACATACACACTCCACTGCAACATGATGGCAACTGTTTACTGTCAACACACACTTGCTTTCACTTGACAAATAATGCACAACATCTGTGTCATGTTCACAAAGTGTTTGGAACTTTGAAATGCATTCATTTATTTTATTTTCGGTTTAGTCCATTTATTAATCAGGGGTTGCCACAGTTGAATGAACCGCCAACTTATCCAGCATATGTTTTACGCAGCGGATGACCTTCTAGCTGCAACCCATTAATGGGAAAACTTTGAAATTTTGCTGAATAAATCTGCCACAACAGCTGGATAATTGCCGTACAATGTGTACCTAGATGCAACACACACTAATGTAGTATGCAACTTCATGGACTTTTCATCTGTGGGACGTAAATAAATGTTCAGTGTAGCATAAAGGTATAAGATGCTTGCTGTCTAGCCATATCACCATGGTGCTCAGTTTAACCGCCTGTAGCTGAAAACCCCTGAAAGTAATTATTAGTGAACATAAAAACGAAATAAAGCATTAAATAGAATGTGTCATTGTTAAAAACAAATAGTTAAAAAAGTAATAGTTGAAAAACTACTTGTTCAAAGAAAAAGTCATAGAGCTGAACAGGCAACAAACACAACTTCGTGCACTAAGATATGTGGAGAGCCCAGTGCGCCCGCGCAGGATTCATTCATTCATTGGGCGCGCGTGCACACATTCACCGGTAACGCATGCTGCATGCTTTGAACTGCCGCTGCTGCTGCCTTTGTGGCTCCTTTACAGACATTCACAGGGATTTATCAGCGAAAAGGATGTCATGATGACGTGCGCTGAAAGAAACCCCCGTTTTTAACATAAAATCGTGTATAAGTCAGACAGGTCGTTTTTTGTTCTTTTCATTCAATTTGACATCATTATTGCATTGAAATGAATTGAGGAGCTCAGAGTTTTTCACATGTTGAATGAGAAAAGCGGTACGTTCATCGTCCACCCGTACTTTCACCACATACCTGTGAGAAACGCATACATAAACTGGGTTGTAGTTTGCTGTTTTAGACCCCGAAATGCCGAATTGGGTATCCGCTCCATGATCCCCTCGTTGAAGATCCGCCGCACCTCCTCATGGTCCGAGCGTTCAAACTCGCGGATAAAAACCTGGTTCCGTTTCTCAATCTTACTCTCGAGCGCACTGGGGGACGCAGAAGAAGACGTCCACATTTGCGAGGAGGAAACTATAATTGAATCTTTTTTGGTCCCAGCTATGGCCTCGTGTTCGTCTGCAACAATTTTAGTCTCGCAAACCATTTTTGGAGACGAACAATGCATGCAACTGGCCTGAAATGAACTGAAATTGGGGAGAAAAAAAAAAAGATGGATGATGGTCTTCTTTGTTATGGAAAGAAAAAGGACTGATGTACTACTGCAACCCTGAGCTTCCTCACGACCAAGACTTGCCGGTGCATCACAAGTGGTATTTATAATGCGCCAAAGCCGCATTCAGATTCTGGGGTGTGGGTGTTCTCCTCCTCTCGCTGATTGGATGCTGCACAGTGCCACATGACGGCGGTGGGAGGTGAAAGTACAAAAGACACATCGTAACGTGTCTTTTTGGAAACAAAGTATTTTGCCCCCGTCACTACACCGGCGAAATTCCTCACATGTTTGTGTTTTGGGGGTACGTTGCACCGACGGCTCCATATGATGCGCTCCGGAGCCATGAACCCCGCGTGTGATTGCAGTATCGGCAACGTCACGGCGATGCTGCGCAACAGCAGCAGTCTGCCTACATCACCGACACCCGAGCTTCTCACTTGTGTGTGTGTGTGTGTGTGTGTGTGTGTGTGTGTGTGTGTGTGTGTGTGTGTGTGTGTGTGTGTGTGTGTGTGTGTGTGTGTGTGTAGAGATTGATGGGTTCATCCGCTGGCATTTTACCAACGCGCGCTGGACAGCGTGTATCAGTGTGTATGTGTGTGCGTGTGTGACTGACACTTTTACTGCACTGCAATGTTAAGCTCCGGCTTAAGTTCATCCATCACATCCCTTTTTTCTTGAGATCCCTGATCAGCTTATTATAGTCTACGCCATTTTTTCAGATATTTTGTTTTTTATTTATATTAGCAATAAATTGCGTATTCATATCATGAACTAAACTTGGGCGTAAAGAACAGTAGTATAAACGATAACCAATAGCGGCTCAAAACTGTTTAAAACGAGAAAGAGAGGGAGTTGGTGTAGACTGAACGATCATTATGTGAGTTTTATTTTATTATTTTTTTATTTAACAAAAATTGGCTATTATTGTAAATAAGTAGCCTGTTTGCTCTAATACTCCAGAAACCCCGTACAAACTGCAGTTTATTGTATTTAAGTTCTCTTATTAGCATATAGTAGGCTATAAGAATAACACAAGAAAAAAAACTTTCTCGAACTCCCTCATAGCTACACGAAAGTCTACTAGAAGAAAAGGCTATATATAACGTATGAATATTTAATAACATTAATGTATTCATTCAGCTGACGCTTTTATCCGCTATATAATGTAGGCCTATATAATAACATTTCTTTTACATGAATACATCATAACCCTACACATGTCTGGCTTGCGTCAGTGTCTTGTAAATGTCTTAAAAGGCATTGACGTACTCTAAGATGCCACGAAGAAATCGTCTTGATTTGAATAAGGTCGCATTCCAGCCGTATTGTAGAACTAGTTTAGACTGGATCTCCCCACCCTTTCCCTCCACCCCTCCCCCCTTAAGAAAAAGCCGTCTTTATTTCCAAAATGTTCCAGCAGGTAAATCCTACATGAGCTCTAATACGAACGCGATGTCCCTCAACAGTGAAAGCACCGCAGACGCGAGCATTACGGCTGTAGTGAAGAAGCGTCTTTTCTCAGCATCAGCATCATCTTCGTGCACGCGGACTGACTGCTGGTGCCAACGGGCATGCGCGGACCACGCAGAAAAGTAGCTAGTATTGAGTTGCTCGAGTAAAATGCAGTATCATTCTTGTCAGATCTGAGACGTTTTATGCATTCTCAGGATGTGAATTTTTTTATTTTTTATTTATTTATTTTTATTTGTTTGAGGATGTGGTTGCACTAAAGAAAGCTTTTGTTTTATAACAGCTCAGTCTGAACTTGAACTAAAATATCTTGTCCCAATATTTTGCTGCCCTCTCAGCATAAACACTCACTGTTATGGGCTGTACAGTATTATAATGTTCAGCTTTTAGAAATTGCACTCTCTCTCTCTCTCTCTCTCTCTCTCTCTCTCTCTCTCTCTCTCTCTGAATCTGAACTAAAATTAAGAGACAAAAATTAATAAAGAGAATTAAGGTTTATGGAAACGTCATCTATGGAAAAATCATACAAATTTTAAATGAATAAAAAATGAATAAATTATTCAATAAAGCACTGAAAATAAAGGTTTGATACAAATAAAACATTTTATTAAGTGTATAAGTATGTACAAACTCCTTAGTAGAAAAAAACTTGTATCAATTATTATTATAAATAAATAATAAGACTAAAATTAAGTAATATTAATATACAGTTTGATAAAAAATACTATAAAAACATACTAAATAGAAAAAAATATTTAAACAAATAAATGTAAATTAGACTAAAATTAATTTTAAAATAGATTAATAAAAGGTTAAACTAAAGCAAACACACAAAAATAAACTATTTATTTAAAAAACTGTTTTCCTATGATCCATCACAGCAATGCAGATCCCTTACAGATCCATAAATTAGCACTTTTTTATCTTATTTAACAGTCTTAACTCAAATAATTAGTCATAACTTAAAAAGCATAAGTGTATAAACTGCTCATTACTTTTGATTCAAAGTGTTTGTGGACACTTGTCTCTCCTTCCATTGTTCCTATTGTGTATCTTGACCCTTGACCTCAGCAGTCTAGAGGGAAGTGGTGACCCCGAATGTCAGACAGCACAAAATCTGCCTTGTGTGTGCCTCGTTTTATGCAACCCTTGATTTTTTAGATCCTCAAAAAATCTCGAGCATGTGTGTGTGTGGCAAGGTCGTGTTTTATTCAGATCGTTCTGTTATTTCAGTTTCCATATGTAATAAATGTGTTCTACTCTTATTAAAACAGTTGGCTGAGGGTGCCGATCTGATAACTGCGAATTTAAGATCCCAAGAGACTCGATATTCTGAGATAACAAGCACTTCATAAGCTCATCTGAGACTCATTAATGGACTGAGCTGAGGACAGTTTAAGTTTAAGCTCAGCCTGTGTAGTTTCATTTTAAAATGATAACAATGCGATTTCATTATGTTTAAATTTGTTTTCACTAATTATTCACTAATTAAATCATTGCAAATTCTTCATAAAAGTCACAAATGTGTGTCTCAGAAACGATTATCGAGTTTAAACGGATACAAATATTAAAGCGCTATTTTTACGCATGAGTGGATAATCCTTCGCGGCTTTGTTGCCAGTGATTGTTATAATGACTGATGGCCAGGGCCCCATCAATGGATGTGTGTGCGTGCACTGGTGCACGTGGGTTAGTTGGGGGACCACAATTGGCAAAGGTTTGTGGGTCGATTGGTCTGTGAGTAACACTGTTTGGATTAAACATCGCTTGGCTTGATTCGTTTCAGTCAAAATGAGGCATGATGAGTTAATGGTGAAGTAGTTCTAAGGTTATAGTCTGACATTCTCACTTTCGAGTAAGAAATTAGGATTGTGTTTTATATGATGTGGGATGTTATCTTATTAGAAAGAGCACAAAACAGATTTAGTCAGGAGTCTTTATAACCTAGATCTTAAAATCTTCACACATGACGCTATAGGTCGGTGCACTGTTATACACATTTCCACTGTCAAAAGTACCAAAAAGCGAACCGTACCGTACCACTTTTTTTGTCTCGTTTCCACTGAGTGGTACAGTAGGGTTGGGTAGGGCCAAACAGAATCTGTCTGACATTTTTTGCTGTTTCTGCGGAACATTTTGTTAAAAATCTATGGATTTATGCGGAATTATTTTGGGAGAAACTAAAAGCTTCATATATGAAGTAAAAATATAACCTTTTTAACTTTTATTTAATGATTACAATGCAAATCCAATAAGATCCAATTATTTAGTAAACAAAGCAAGTCTTTCATATAATTTATCTACTAAACCACAGAAAATAGTACTTTACAAACTGTAATGTAAATAAATCATATCAACATTTTCATATTAGTCAACAATTATACTGAAATTATTTTAAAAACTGAATAAATATAAATGTACACACATTTACACAAGAAAATAAATAGAATCAATGATGGACTAAAAATCTGTGGAATTCTGCGCGTGCAGATTCCGTGTGGGTCACCTTTATCAGGCTTTGTCTCCACTGCCAAATGGTATCAATGGCACACTTTTGGTAGGCGTGTTGTTCGACAAAGTTGCAGTCGAAGTAATTTTAGTTGAAGTACCCATATTTTTTTAAGTATATTCTTATATACATAAATGCTTCTGTATAAATAAATGTTAATTTATTTATGTCCTAACCTTTCTATAAACAGGATTTGATTATAGCTGCAGATCAGTAATAATGCAAAAGCCTACAGTAACGTCTGCGATCATATAAAATAAAAAATAAATAAAACGAACACATACAGACACTTAGTCTCTGAAATGTTAGCAGTTACAAATCGTAAAAAAAATACCCAAAACATTCAGGCCGTATTGGTGTCCATAAACGATAGAAATTAATATGTTTAACATTTATAAATTAAGTCATGTGTTATTATGTGTAATAATATGAAATTACACTGGGGGAAAGTATTGAACAGATGAAGAAAGGGAGGTGTAAAAAGGCATGGAATACCCAGAAAGCAGCTGAAATTTCTCAGTTGTGTGTATAAAAATATATGTATACATTTGAAATAAAATGCATATGTTTCTTTTGTATATTTTTGTATCCATAAAAACATAATAAATATACACAATGTACACACATTCATTCATTCGTTTTCTTTTCGCCTTAGTTCCTTTATTAATCTGGGGTTGCCACAGCGGAATGAACCGCCAACTTATCCAGCACATGTTTTATGCAGCGGATGCCACAACCCATCACTGGGAAACACTCACACACTCTCATTCACACACATACACAACATATAATTTTAGCTCACCTAATTTACCTGTACCACATGTCTTTGGAGACCCACGTGTCTTTGGAAACCCATGCAAACGTGGGGAGAACATGCAAACTCCACACAGAAATGCCAACTGACCCAGCCAAGGCTCAAACTAGCAACCTTCTTGCTGTGAGGTGACGGCACTACCTACTGTGCCACCGCGTTGCCCATGTATACACATACAATGTGATTAATTGTTTGACGGCACTATTATTTTATTATAAATTATATTATAAATCTGATACTATTCCTATTATCAGTTTGGCTGATGAACGTTCTGAGGTGTGTAGTTGTTTTCAGGAAAGTTGTCCCTGGCAGGCCTTGACTGCATTAGTTTCATATCATTGCACTAAATGATTTCAGTTTATTCAAAACAATCCAACATCAAAATGAAATAAAAGCCTTTTAATAAGATGCAAAAGACAGAAGTGATTCGAGGACAAATACAACAAAGAAAATGTCTTTAAACAGAAC